ACACATAGCTTCACCCGTCCCACTCATCCAACACACTGCTTCACCCGTCCCACTCACCCAGCACACACAGCTTCACCCGTCCCACTCACCCAACACACTGCTTCACCCGTCCCACTCACCCTACACACATAGCTTCACCCGTCCCACTCACCCAACACACTGCTTCACCCGTCCCACTCACCCAGCACACACTCGCCTTTGTAAATGCACAATAATGACACTATGTAAAGAACACATCGACCACTTTTTGTAGGGCAGACGCAACTCTCTATCTATGTACTTATGTCTTAGGTTAGATTAACATTTTAAAAGCACTACAGTCACCTTCTGTGGTTGATTGTTCAATAAATCCCTTAACTATATGTTTAACAGATCTCTCACCCTGTCCATGAAGGACAGAAGAAAATGTATATATGCTGGTTAGCATTGTAAATGTATGGCCACGTCTGTAGTAGAAAATAATAATAATAATAATAAAAACTGCTTTGTAACAGAGGCTGTGGGTAATAGCTCTCTTTTTGTCCATTAGCCTCCCCTTAGTTAACTAATTAAGAGTTCCCCAGAGCTTCTACTGCAACTTCTCCAGTTCAACACCTTGTAACCTCGATATTTGATTACCTAGGTACTTCAAAAACATGGCAATATACTTGATCAGCTTCGAGTAACTCTACAGAACTCTACTTTAATTAATACTTTCCCCTGCCACGATCCATTCAAAACAAAACATATGTAAGACAAGGAATGGAACTTGTCTGTACAACCCAATATCAAAGATGTTCATGTCACAAACTATATGTATACACTCGTAAATTATCAAGTCTCTAAGTCATAAGAGTCAGAATACTCTCTTCCTCCACCCCCCCCCCCCTCAAACTATCATAGGTAAACGAAGATCCAGGGATCGAAATTTAGGCCAATTCTCAACAACAAGTTAATTAAAAATGTATATACAATTTGGTCTTCACATATTCAACTATATCAACTTAGCATCAACTTAGATGTTAAATATCAACATGAATACAACAATGTGAAACACCACAAAGGAAAATGAGAACACTACGGCTGACTGCTCCTGAAAATCACACAACACCTAAGTTTGGAAAACACAAATACGTCACCTTAACAGTTTAACTCACCAAGGCCTTAGAACCTATGCTTGATAGCGAGGGAAGGGGGCTACGATTGACAGAGTCCACCTCTGGCCTAAGGAAGGCCAATCTGCCGGATGCAACCTTTTGATAAGCGATCGCTCTCTCTCTTCCTCCGGCTCAATGTCAATCCTTCAGTCCTCAAATGTACAGTTCCCTGGGTATTTATGAGGAAACCAGGGAGCTAAGCCCTGCCTACTATGTAGATAGCCTCAGGCTCTCTGCCTACCACACATTAAACACCGGCTTGTTTGATGGAAAGACACCACCAACCGTCTAGAATTATTGGTTTAGTGGAGAGCAAGGTCAATTGACACGACCTGACCCCTGGTCAACTTGTGGTCATTAACACCTATGGGTGTGGCGTATTAATTGCTAAAGCCAGACAACCTGGCACCTTTCAATGTTCTGTCTGACTGACTCATGTTGTATGTAAAATTAAATATAAAATACCTTTATGGTGTTACAGCTTCACCCGTCCCACTCACCCAGCACACACTGCTTCACCTTTCCCACTCACCCAACATACGCTGCTTCACCCGTCCCACTCACCCAACATACGCTGCTTCACCCGTCCCACTCACCCAACATACGCTGCTTCACCCGTCCCACTCACCCAACACACACTGCTTCACCCGTCCCACTCATCCAACACACACTGCTTCACCCATCCCACTCATCCAATACACTGCTTCACCCGTCCCACTCACCCATCACACACTGCTTCACCCATCTCACTCACCCAACACACTGCCTCACCCGTCCCGCTCACCCAGCAAACACTGCTTCTCCCGTCCCACTCACCCAACACACATTGCATCACCTGTCCCACTCACCCAGCACACACTGCTTCACCCGTCTCACTCACCCAACACACATTGCTTCACCCATCCCACTCACCCAACATACTGCTTCACCCATCCCACTCACCCAACACACTGCCTCACCCGTCCCGCTCACCCAGCACACACTGCTTCATCCATCCCACTCACCCAACACACACTGCTTCACCCGTCCCACTCACCCAGCACTCGCTGCTTCACCGATACACGCTGCTTCACCCGTCCCACTCACCCAACACTGCTTCACCCATCCCACTCACCCAACATACTGCTTCACCCGTCCCACTCACCCAACACACTGCCTCACCCGTCCCACTCACCCAGCAAACACTGCTTCACCCGTCCCACTCACCCAACACACACGGCTTCACCTGTCCCACTCACCCAACACACACTGCTTCACCTGTCCCACTCACCCAGCACACACTGCTTCACCCGTCCCACTCACCCAGCACACACTGCTTCACCCGTCCCACTCACCCAACACACACTGCTTCACCCGTCCCACTCACCCAGCACACGCTGCTTCACCCGTCCCACTCGCTCAACACACACTGCTTCACCCGTCCCACTCGCTCAACACACACTGCTTCACCCGTCCCACTCACCCAACACACACTGCTTCACCCGTCCCACTCACCCAGCACACGCTGCTTCACCCGTCCCACTCGCTCAACACACACTGCTTCCCCCGTTCCACTCACCCAACACTGCTTCACACGTTCCACTCAACCAACACTACTTCAACTGTCCCATTCACCCAATTTTACATAAGAAATATATCCCTCATTATCCACCGCATCTCCCTCCAATCCTCTGTTATCTACCATACCATGTAATTACGATATCAAAATAGCCCTGTTCATCCTATTCCAGTGGAATGAACGTTAAGAGTGAAAGTGAGAATGAACAGAAGAAAGTGATTTTTAAAACAATATACTAAACACAGATGGGATTGGATCAATGGTTGAATCAAAGAAAATAGTAGTGCTAATACATAACACTACACTAAATGACAGAAGGGTGAATAGGGAGGGAGACGAAGGAGAGGAATGAGAAAGAGTGAAAGGGAGAAGAGAGAGATAAGGGTGAAGAAAGGTGCAGAGAAGATGATTTTTTCGTTTTTTTCCAGGAATATTCCTGCACAAGCCCAAGCCTCTGACACTACGTGTTACTCATTTCTGTCTTAGGCAGTGGATGAATATTTATGACTCGAATGTTGGCTTCAGTTAGATTATGTCCAATGTGTTTAACAAATTGTTTTTGTTGTTAAATATCAGTTAACATTTTATTTGGTTTGTAATTTTGCATTTTGTTAGATGGAATATTCTAGTAGTCTGTCGGGCACTTTTCCACAGTGCTGACATTTCCTCTCTTCTTCTGGAACTTGTACACAAGTATCAAAGCATTGTGGAGTACAAAGTTGTTGGAGTTTTCCAAGTGTTAGTTTTCACGAAAATAAGAGATTATTCACTGAATTCTTGAACTAACCTTCAGATCCTGATGCTGCGGCTGCTGTGTTATGGTCACTGTACATCTTCTGCGTTGCTCTATCTCTAACTATTTTCTTAATCTGTGTTAGACTCTGTGGTATGTAAATGTCTCCATTCCACCTCTTAGTTGAACGTTTAAAGCTTCATCTACAATGCCATTGCCTGGAATTCCTACAAAACTTGGCACCCAGTTGATAAGTATATAACGACCTTGACGTTTGAGTGTTTGAGTGCATGATGAATGTTGCCACATAAATGTTCTTGTTGCAAAATTTAAGTGCCAGTTCTCGAACTGTATGTACGAGAGAGGGGGGTAAAATAGGAAGAAAACGGGGGGGGGGGGGGAGAGAGAGAAGGCGAGGGGAGAGAAGGAAGGAAAGGGCTCAGAGGAGGAGAAGAGAGGTGGATGCTGTGGGAGAAAGGTGAAGACAAGGGGAAGAGGGAAAGAGACGAGGAGAGGGGAAGAGAAGAGGAGATGGGAAAAGAGAGACGAGAGAAAGAGAGATTCGGGCACAGTCGGGTTCCCTATCTAGCTGCCTATCCATAGAGTGATACACCTTCCTGCAGTACATAACGTGATAGTGATGTGGACCCATTCTAATGTACCCACCGTGCTAGTAGGTAAGGAAGCCTTCCACAGTAGTGACTCAGCTGCTGAACACCATTCACACACTTCTTTAGTTACGAAACAGTTATCCAGGAGCACCCTAACACAGGTACTGTATTGTGTAACAAGAACTACGACGTTCCAGCAGTAACGACAACACAAGAATAATGACACGAGCATTAGTGAACGACCAATCATGGAGGACATCAGCACAACTGTGGCTGGGGAGACAAGCGTCAGAGAAAATATTATTGGCTGATTAAGAACATTACAATTAAGGAAACTACAAAAGTTTCGAATTGGCCCATAAGAGCAGCTCCTGTTTGTTGTTGTTATTGTTATTTAGGATTCAGCTACTTGGAACAAAAGTTCCAATTAGCACGGGCTATGATGAGCCCGTAGATTACTTATATCCTGTTTATATTCGCAACTGCCTTTAATCTTCTTACATTACTGCATAATGTATGGGTTAGATTCTTCAAATTGAATGGAGTGATTATTATATATAATATATGTTTTACAATATTGATAGTGAATTATACGTTTAATTGTGTTAGTGGTCTCATTGTTAGTGAAGGTCACGTCTTATTGTTAGTGAAGGTCACGTCTTATTGTTAGTGAAGATGATGTCTTATTGTTAATGACGGTCATGTCTTATTGTTAGTGACGGTCATGTCTTATTGTTAGTGACGGTCATGCCTTATTGTTAGTGAAGGTGATGTCTTTTGTTAGTGACGGTCATGTCTTATTGTTAGTGACGGTCATGTCATATTGTTAGTGACGGTCATGTCTTATTGTTAGTGACGGTCATGTCTTATTGTTAGTGACGGTCATGTCTTATTGTTAGTGAAGGTCACGTCTTATTGTTAGTGCAAAAGATGACTTCAACAGAGGATGAATGTGGGCTTACCTCGCCATTGGGATGTTATCTTTTCGTGTTGCCAGAGTGATTCCTGCTACACGGAGCAGGACATGTAGACCCGCACTGGCCGGTAACGTACTGCGTAGAGAGATAAAGAGTGGCGGTGGTGGTGGCAACAGCCTCCTGCGCCGACCACCTCCAGCTGTACACTGTGAGGTGACTCCAGGCGCGTTCCTGCCGCACGCAACCCGGCCGTAAGTAACACCATGACTCTCCCCCCCTCCCCAACCCCGTCCCTCCAACCGCAAGTAACACCAACACACCCCGACACCGTCCCTCCAGGCTAGAGGTTAGTCATATAATAGTGTTAGCCAGTAACCGGGTTCTCTCTATTCAAACTTTCTATGGGCCCTTAGTGCCTCTTCTTACCAGATCCAACCCTGAGTCATAGGCAAGTTATTAATTCTTAACTATATACACATATTACATATGTACAACATGTAACACTGTATGTGTCACTTTCACACAGGCCACTACTAAAGAACTGATCTTCTATCCCAGCGAGTCCACTAATATCTTGTATTGTACAACACTCAAAGTACCTTCCGTGAGCCTTTCTTCTTCAGTACTCAGGCCGGCGAGTCCACATTTCTCAGTACATCATGAGTCAGTCCTCGACAGTATCATCAGTGTCAAAACACCACTTCGACTCTCCAGCAATACTCTGGCTGGCTTCCCCTAAAGACTTCACCACAACAAGACTTAACTTAAGGGAACAGTCAGAAGTTAATTCCATTTAATAACACAACTAGGCGAGGTCCTTCGGTCTAATCACCAATACTTCACTGGTCATCACAGACAATTCACTGTCTCCACAGACTCGGCCGAGGTGTTCCCACTGGCATAAGTCTAACGTTCAGGACTGCCCTGGGTGAACTGACGCGTGTTGTTGGAAATTTCCAACATAATACAACACTGTTGTATTATTATTAATTATTACTAAAATCTACTAATTACTGTAGTAACTAAAATTAACCAACAGTAGAGTTCACATGAACTAATAATTGTATCTGTACAATAATGCTAGAATTCTTACGTAACCAGACACCAGTATTGCGTCAGATTCTACCAAAATAAACACATTTATATCCAGTGTGTCAGAGAATTGAGTTTGATTCTCTAAAAACAACAGTGTTCTGTGTGATAATTATTTACCGATAACATGACTCCCAAATAATGCCAAATCAAGCGTTTCTAGTTACAACTGTTATCTGGAAATAAATTTAACGTCAAGCGTGAACACCATGGAGAGAATTAAAATCATTCTTCATTGCTTGTTTAACATCGTAAAACGAGCAAATAATAATACTTAGCTCCCTAGAATTATAAACTCGTCATTATCCAAGCATTTTAGCCGCAACTGCGAGAAATAATATTATTCGTAGTAAATAATTTGTGTAGCGAATGCGGGACGCGGAGCGGGGCAGGGAGAGACGCCATTAATCTGAGAGCGTGTGGAGGCGTCGGTGTGAGAGGAAAGTCGCCAAAGTGCGGTGTGAAGACTTGTTGCGGAATTGAGCAACTCGTTTGGCGTCAGTGTCATAGGATACATTGTGGTGAATCGTCAACAAGAATTAACTTGACATTCAGCCCGGAACTTGTCAATTTGTTCCGTGTAATCCATCGTGACCGGCCAGAGAAACGCGTAGACATCTAGGCCAAGCTAGCCACCACGTGTTCGCCATTGCAACGCTAGAGCCTGGGACGCGAATTTCGGCAAGATTCAACTTACACAGTGCCCTATTGGCTAAGTACAGATATTCCCTTTTGATGCATCATTAGAGATTGTTTACAGCAGGGTAGCTTGTCGTCACGCCGAGCGACATAAATAAAACACATGTTAGTATATTTTATTACTCTCCATTCCCAATTTCTTGAATATAGATATTTAGCAACCTAATATGTTGCTACATAATATATCTTGATTTACAGCTTGCGTGTGAGGAATTCCCCGAGCTGTTACTTTACCCGTGTTATTCATCTCCCAGTGCTCCATGAAGAATTCTGGAGATTACGAGGATGATTCATGACTGATGTCTTGGAAAACGTCTTCAAGCTAAGACCTTTTTCCGTATTTTAATTATTCAAATTATCTGTACTGAATTATCACTATTGATCACTGTGCACTGGATTTAACACGTGTTTATTATAATCATTAATTTCTGATATTCATAATCTATATTCTTGTTGGTGACAAATTCTCTATTGATTCTCTAATTGGTCATAGGATTAGGTTATTACACAATGAACTGATGTATGAACCGCATTAGTTCCTAGACATATATGAAGTTCTAGCAATAACCCCCCAATGTAGGTGTTTGAGGCTTTGATTCAATTAAATTATATACAGCCCATTAATTATTCAAGTGATTATATTTTCTAGTATTTATCCATAGTTACTGGTTCCTCTAGGAATTTCTAATGATCACATTTTATTAGTTTCCCTCTTTACTATAAAAGCGGGTGGTCCTTCGTAATTGATTTCATTACTTTAATAATTAAATAAATAGAGTCAAGCCCCAAATGTCCCACATTATGGTCCTTCGAACCGGATAAACATAAATTATAATTATAAATACTAATTAGTAATAACTAATCACTGTGTGATGTAGTCTAGACTAACCATTTAATTAATTGTGTCTACCAACAGCGTAACCCATAGGTTAGTCTAAGTCACACCAATTCATTGCTACTTTCACCTCATGTATAAGGTAGCACTCGTGGGACACAGTCAATTACCCACAGCACTTAGACCTATACCTCATACTGAAGTAAGAATCTTTAGGTCACCAGGAGCAACAGCTCATAACTTTTATAACAATTCCACACTAACACCTGCGTTAGAGTGGCCTCACCATCTAACCATTATATACCTAGGTGGTAATGACATCCATCCTACTCGTCATCCAGCTGAGGTGATCAAGCACCTTAAAGCCATAATTTCTTCTTTCAAGCTCATCAGTAATTCAGTAGTATTCACGTTAGTGGAACCTCGCCAAGCAAGTCAAGATAATCCTTGGGGAGTAAGACCAGAATACTACCAGAGAGCTGCTAAGTACATAAATTTCAGGCTGAAAAAACGAGTGAGATTGGATGCCACTTATATCCAATTTACAGCCAGACCATATATGTGGGAAAAACCTGCTGGGATTGATATAAGAGGAGACTACCAGGGACTTGTACTGAACTAAATTAAAAAATTACTGTCTGCAAATTAATTCAACTAAAATCTCTAGCTAGGGTTGTAAATCCTAATTCCTCTTTTCCTAATGACAGACTGTGGGCTGTAAGGGACAGGTGGGGTGAATGACTTTGTTGATAGAAGTTCCAGTCCACCTGTAGACAGGGATCTCACATCAGCTTGTATTTTATACAAGGATAAGATTTGATAAATTCAGTTATCTGACTGAACACTGGCTCTGTTTAAATCAGAGATTTAAACATACATAGTCTAACCTAGTACCATAACTTAACAGCCGATATGTACTTATACTATAAACAACAAATTAAATTGTAAAAGTATAATAAATGACCTTAAATGTAGTCTTAATACTATTAAGTAACTACTAATTATATTCAATTAAATGAACTTATATGATAACTTAAAAATTAACTAAGCAAGCTATTGATAACTTAATTTATATATTCAAATATATATGCAGACATATTCAATTTATACGATACAGTTAGCTTGAGTGAATCTCTTCCAACAATATGGACACTTATGAGGTTTTTACTTATTGAGGCTGAATTCTTTCTGGCACAATGGACACTCATGAGGTTCAGTGCTTGGATAAGATTCACAGCTACACTACAATTTTAATAAACTTACTGAAATGTGAGGCTTAGCCTCGCTTTTTAACCAACAGACAGATTTATAGGATATTAAAGTTACACAAGCATACAATTGGCCAATCATACACCAAATAACCCTCAATATACTTCTCTGCCAGTCGGGGTGCCTGTCTGACAAGTTTGCCAGACTGATTAACTCTCTTGTTGAGTTTAGGCACTATATTTTGCTACAGCGTTGCTGTATGATGATCTGGTAGCGTTGCTACTTGGATTTTTCTTTTACTGCGTTGCAGAAGAATGATATTTGATAAAGAATAGGAATGAAGGTGGTGGAAACCGCGTCACTGTGATCTCCACTACACTCTTATTTTTATAAATGTTCTAGGATTTTCCTTGTGGATATTGTCCAGGTACTCCCCCAGTTCTAGAGAGTATTCACTGGTGATAAAAATGTTAAATAAGGTGTCCTTGAGCTGGTAATGTTCGCTAAGGATCAGTCACTTGTTCACTCATTTGTAAACAAACGCGGAGTGCCTCGGGCTTTGTTGGTGGGCGCTTCACTCCCCCCATCGCCCTGCCATGCTCTCTGAGCACGGTAGCCTTCTATGAATATTGATTGATTATTTTTACAGTCTAGACTTATGATTAAGATAAGATGTGATTATAATATAATTAGATATAAGATTTAAAGATTATAAGTAGTATTTGTAAGTACCACTGAATCTTATTAAGGATTCGATATTATCCCTACCGGATGTTGAATAAATGTTCCAATAGTTTTTTAATTAACAAATCCTTCTAGAAGCTTCTGGATCCTTGAGAAATCATGTACAAAGTCACGTAGGCATCAAAAGGGCCCCTGTTGCGTACGTGTTCATGGTGCCATTGTCATCCAGGATCAAGCTATATAATGAATCTATAATGATTCTAATATGATTTTGATACGATTTAGATATGATTTTGATATGATTTAGATATGATATAGAAATTATACATTTCTTAGATGATTATTAGATATGGTGGGTAAAAATTTCCCACATCTTCCAGAGGGAGAGAACTGGCACAGAGTCCAATACTTAGGACAATAGTAACCATATGTATTTATTTACTCTCCATTGGATTGATAATACAAGTGCAAATTTTGCTTGCACTTTTGTGCTGCTGTCCGTTGTGGACGATTGTGTCTGTTAGAAGTCTGTGGGTCTTGTGGAGTTAGAGTGTCTTGAGGTCTCTCAGGATCTAACTGCAGCTGGCTCACTGATTCCATGTGGATGAGTTTGTCCAATGTCTTCAGGGAAGTTGTTCCTTTAGACAGGATTTTGACTATTCTCAAAATCC